GAAACTATTCTAAATATTTTTATGTAAGCTTCTGCACTGATACATTATTTGGTGAGAATTTATCAAATATTTTTAGTCCAATATTTTTTAACCTTGATCTTCCCAATAATCTTTGACTTTAACATTTATTATGTATAAAATCAAATTTTAAAGAAATTATTCAAGATATTTTCATCAAACTTCATACACTGATACAAATTTTCATGTTGCATTATTAATGAACCCTGGGTGGAACATTCATGTCCTATGGACATATCTCTTTTTTAAAAACATATTTCTGGTTGCATGGTCTAATTTGCTTATCCATTACTAAGAAACCTGAACTAATATCAGGCACATAACAAAACTCTTCATTGGCCTACTGGCCTTACTTAAATAAATTAGCAAGAATATAAATGAAACAAATCAAAGCAAGTTTAGTTTTGCAATATGTCAATTTTTGTAATGTATATATCAAACTGTGCACAAGAACAGCTTAATATTAAATTATGAGAGGGGACCTGCTTTAGAAGCTCGATATGTATTAACCAAAGATGCCTTGATCGAGCTGATCATTGTCATCAAAGCATTTAAATGACATGCCCTGCACATCATTATCTAAACAAACTCCTGGATATCCAGATGACTTACTTCTCTCTTGCTTTTCTTTTGTAATAATGGGAAGACTCGTGTTCATATTTGCAGTCCATTTGCACCTATAACTTATATCCACACCATTATGAATCTTGAGTTTGCTTATTCTTGGCATTGACTCCCCCTGTAAACAAAATTTTACAAGTACCTGTATTAATAAATTCATTGACAAATAGTATTAAGAATGAAAAATTTTAGTGTTTATAAGCAAGAAACTTGAAATTAAAAAAGAGGAACTGCACATAGATACAAATACATGGGCTAATATCAAACTTACTTGATTCTTTTGTTCAAAACTAAGGTCTGTATTAAATTGCATTTCAGAAAAACTATGGGAAACTAGTTAAGGATATGACACCTACAATATGTAAAATATTTAATTCATAATAATTTAATCAACAATAAATACACAATACTTGAAGCTTTCCATTAATTCCTGTTACTTTCTATACACACATCTTGATTATCTTCCTTAAATCATGCACTAGTTTATGGTACAAATAATGTAATACATGTAATATAAAAATTTCCATGGAGAATTTTAGTTTTCAAAAAAATGTATAATACTGCCTACTGTTTACATATTACACTGTGCTGCCTAGTTATAAAAATAATCGATTCAAAAATGTGATTTTCACATAGTAATTAAATCACACATTAAGAAATGTGTGTCCCACTTCATCTCTAAAGTCACCAAGATAATAAAATTAAAAATAATTACATTTACTCAGTAGTCCCTAGAGAGACAATATATATACCTACTCTACTGTGGTTGCATGATTCTCCTTCAAACTCAAAATATTAAATACTAAGAAATAATGGGTTCAAGCAAATTGAGTACATGATATATTATCTAAAATTTGCACAAGTTTTTTTTTTTACCGGTATCTGCAAGCAATGCCATTTCAAGACAATTAAAAAGAGATATGTGTGACTGGTCGGCAGGGGATGCTCACTCATCCATGGCACCTGATCCCACCTCTGATGTTTTAAAGGTCCGTGTTTGCTCTGCTCCTGATTTGTAATGTTTAATGGACTTTTGAGCTTGAATACTGTTTGTTATTTCCATATATTTGATGTGTAATTTGTGAATGCTCAACCCCAGCCTGGACTACTTATTATAAGTATTGATGCATGGGCAATTTTAGAGTAAATATTTTTTTTCCAGTTGAACAGCAATATAAGTTGACACAGTTGATGCAGAAAGAAGACAAGAAAAGTGTATCATACTCAGATTTTGGAGATAAATTATTGAAGAAGAAAATGGTAGCAAACATTTTCCTATTACCTTTCCTCCATGTCCTCTGAAAGTGCTATTTAAATATATAAAAAGCTGCAATTTTTGGGAGAGTTTACTCCATGTAATTGGATTTGGAGTTAGAAACCTTGAGATTATGTAAAATTTTATTATACTATAGGGTAAGTTTTTGTTACAGAAATAAGTGCATGTGTATAGATATATGATACAGTGTCAAAACTTATGCAAAACAAATTTTGGAAACAATTTCACACAGTCACATGAATAGTTTATTTTTCTGACTAATGACTATTTAACATGTCCAATAACTTAAGTATTTAAAAAAAAATTAGACTTCAAAACATTGCAATTAAAAACCTGGACACATTTTTCCATGATGTGTTTTTAGGTCCAAAACAATGTTCCATACAACATGTGGCCTAATACTCGACAGTACAGCAAACAATCTCCTATTATTATGAGGCTCCTGAAGGAAATGTCATAACTGACTACTTTTTCTTTCTATCTGCTGAACAATATTGACACGTGTACTTACTTTCCGAATGTAATAATTACAATGTGTTATTGAATATATCACAACCTGCTTAACATTTTTGAATTAAATAAAAAATTCACCCTCCTTGCAGAGCCCCATTTAAAAATAGTCTTTGTGTACAAACACAACTTAAAGGAGAGGCAATTCGGAACGTGAAGTCAAGAATTTTAACGGATATCTGATGACTGATCAGAAATCACATAGATATATGGCATTTTTAGAAACTCTGCAAGTCTGCAGAAAATTATTACACGTTCATTGCAAGGATTCAAACAAAGAGTCACGTTTTTACACACCCGAAATGTGTCTTACCTTCTATCAGCTGTTTTCACCGGAAACAATGGACATTCATTCTTCTATCGCCATAGAAAAGAGATCCGCCGTAAACACATATGTTTAGAACTGTTTAATCTTTTCCTATTAGTTTGAAAGGAGTCAACAAACTATCAAGACTTGTTCTAAGCAAAATTCAATTGTAATAAATGCATCTATCCACAAAAGAAATATGCATATGCCAACCACGTGCTCTGTGGAATGATATGACTGAGGAAACTCGAGTGATAAACAGAACATTTTTTCCCGGTTTGCGAGAGATGGGTTAAAATCGCGTTTTGTCATTAATCAGACGATGCGATGCAACAAATAAAAAATGTAAGTTGTGTAAACTAAGGACCATTACTTACATATGTCTTGTGTTGATGTTGTTACGGTCTCATTTATTCTAAAACAATGTTATTTGAACTCTGTGTGACAGAGGAATGGCGGACATAATAAACGCATGGCCTCAGGGAGACCACCACATGAAGAATCAAATTTTCAAAAATTATGGACAACGAAAAAAGCAAAACAAATGGTTGTAGCCATATTATTAATGAACCGAACTGACATCATTTTCATTGCATTATTCATCTCCTAAATGCTGTGGCTGCGCAGTTCTAACATGATTAATTTTCACCAAATGCAAACAATAGAAAAATAATTATTTACTAGTTTTGGTCTCTAACAGTAGGTAATAAGTGCATTTGAGTAACTTTGAGCTGGTTTGGTAATGTATAAAACGCATTCTTGGTATTTCTTATTTTTGAGCAGAATACATCCAAGATGGCTTGTACATCCCCCTTAACTGTTTTTTTGTTTCTTGTTCTCTGCAAGATGCAATTTCAGAAGGTAACATATACCTAACCAACATTACCTTGAAATATATGATGCCACTATTCTACTCCCATTCTTTTTGTCAAAGTACATGACTGAGTGCATAGACTATGTTCTTAAAACTGAAACTCTATTGACACCTAAAATGGCACTGAAAGTTAGGGCAGCATCTTTCATTAACCCAACTGGAAGGCTGGGACACAACAAAGCTGCTGACATTGAAATAGAAAATCAAGTTAAAATGTTAAAGGATTTGATTCGCGGCCTAGGTGCAAATAAAACAGAAAATGAAAATTTCCAAGGTGGCACCAGTTATTCACAGTATTTCCGACAACCTTTGTGCAATGACATCGACACAGAATTTTCACACCACTCACAAAGCCAGACCATGTGTCCAAGATGTTCAACAGATCTTAGACATCTTAAAGGAAAACAGTCCTTAGCAAAACACTCCTGGTCGTCAATTAAAGGCATTTGAAGACATTTCCAAAAGTCCATATATTTTTAATCAGCAACATTTTGAAATGTGTGTCATGAACACTGTTGACAGACTTAAGCGAGGTGTTCCTACCACCGACGACAGAGAAAGTTATGATGAAAAATTTTGTTAATATTTATGTATACATGTATATTTGCAGATATAAATATTGAATATTTACAAATACCTGTTCACTACACTCAGATTTTTTTTACAGCAATGCAATATTTGGTTCAATAACAAATAAAACTAATTTGAATTTTGATAATAGTGCATGTTTATTCATAATAGAATCTAGTGCACGTAGTAACAAGAATGCCTACATTACATTGCTGTTTAACACAACTACCCAAAGTCCAGGTCTTGTTAAAATGCCTTTATAAGAAATGATGTAGATGCAGGATAGGGTAGTACAAAAATGTCATTTTGTATAGTAAAAATAGAAATGATGAGCAACATTTTCATTGTAAAATACAATATTATAAAATAACATCTTATACATGTATTTGCTTGAATAATTAACATTTTAAAATACAAATGAACCATATTTCATACAAAAAAGAAGCAACAAAAAACATACACAAATTCACTTCTTCTGACAATTAGAGCAACAATTATCTGGTGAACCACAATAAAGAACATCTGAAAACCCAAAATATTTTCTTAAACATGTACATTTATTTAAGCAACATTTTCTGATTTCTTCTGAGAGACCTTTTCTGTTTGGTGCAATGTCACTCATATTGTAATACAAAATAGCTGTGACGGATCTTTTTCGTGCCAGCACCTACTACGACACGGGGCCTCGGTTTATACGGTCTCATCCGAAGGACCGGTCTCCACGTCCCACAGTGGGATTCGAACCCGCGACGTGAGGATCACCTCCTTACTTCGCGACTCTAGAGCAGACGCTCTAACCACTGCGCCACGCGGGCGACTGTTGGAGGCTGAAAGTGAATGACACGAGATATGCCAGGCGCATTTAAACCCATTCCAAGAGCAACAGTAGCAAATATTTATCTTAATGTGGGTTTTTCTTTACGTAATTCACTAACTATATGAGCTTTCATTTTAGACGTATAAACCTTATGAAATTGAGCAAATAATCTGTTTTCAGGGATTGGGTCATGGACTGGAAAATAAGAAAATTTACCTAAAAAATCCTCAATGTATTGATAACAGTAACCTAATGCTTCTAATTGATTAATATAAACAATAGTTAAAGGAAAACAAGAAAGCAAGTCGCGCAACTCCTGGGCTACAGGGTGCAGCAATTCATCCAGTTTTTCATATTTTCTGATGTTTGGAAGGCGTGTCTGTATCTGTTTTAATTAAAACAAAATTGTATAACATATTATTCCAAAACTCATCATACAGAGATAAAATCATAAGGAAATATACTGTTGCATGTAGAATACTGTTACTGATGGCAATTTAATAACAGAATTTTCAAATAACAAAAGTCTATAATTTCAGTTTTTCTTACAAAGGATAATCAGTAATAGCAAAACTAACAGTGTGTATACCTCAACTTTAATATTAGGACGATCTGGATTTACGGTGATGATAGTAACATCTGTGAATTGCAGGTCATCTACAAGTTCTTTAATAGCTGTTGGTATTGCTGTTGCTGTCATGGCAAGATGCACAGTATCGGATGTTGGAAAAATACATACCAGCTCAGACAACTTTTTAAATGCTTTACGAAATGACAGCCCCCTAAAAAGAAATAGTAGTATACATGTAAATTAAATTTCCTTTGCATGACATACTTATAAATTTTAATGTTTAAATTTAAATTCCTTTGAAAACTTGATAATCGTTATTAATGTCACATATACTGCTTACTGTTCCAGCAAGAATGAAATTGACATTAGTTTTAAATAATTATTAATATATATAATCAAAATTTTATTTAATTTTTTGATTAGATAAGCACTTAAGTTATTTTTTTAAATGAATAAATGCACACCAGGGCCCGGTTGTTCAAAAGGTGGTTAAATTTAACACAGTGTTATATCTGTGTAAACAAGTGTGTTAAATTTAACCACATGATTAAGTGTTGTTCAAAGGTGTGTTTGTGTTAACAAGGTGTTAAATCTGTGTTAAATTTAATCCACCTACGGTAGGTAGATTAAGAAGTTAACACCGTGATTAAATATGGCCGCTAATTTTCTTATTCATCCGCCTGGACCCAGAAAACAGCGTGTTTTTAGACTACACACAAATATAGACGGTTGGTCTGATGAAGAATTAAGAAGAAGGTACCGATTTGGTCAACATGGCATAAATTTTATTGGTGATGTCATCAAAAATGATTTAGAAAGAGCCACTAAAAGGAACAGCGCACTTAGCGTCCAACATCAAGTCTTGATAACCTTGCAAGTGGTAGTTTTTTGCAGGTTGTCGGGGACACCCTAGGTACAATTAATAGAATACAGTACATATGTATACTATGTAAATTTTAAAAATGAAGTTTAATAAAAGTTTAAAATAATAATGACACAGTGCATGGAAAATTTCTTGGGTGTATATCGCATGTATTAAACATAAAACGCGGATTAAATAGTCTATCTATAATGGAAAAAATATACAGCTTCCTCAAATTTGAACAGGGTTTGACAAAAGTACAGTCTCTCGCACCGTTAAGAGAGTCATAGAAGCACTGGTTGCTAGAGCTGACACTTTTATAAAATGGCCCGACGCAACATCAAAGTCTTCGATCAAAACAGGCTTCTACCGGATAGCAGGTTTCCCCAATGTAATCGGGTGCATCGATGGGACTCATGTACGGATCCAGGCCCCTTCACACGACGAAAATTCCTTCGTGAATAGGAAAGGATTTCACAGCTTCAATGTCCAAGCTGTATGTGACCACGAAGGTATCTATCACTGACCTTTCAAAGGCCCCTTGTGTCATTTTCGTTCGATGTTTTTTTTAAATGTCATAAAATTTCATAATTTCTAGATACAATGAATTCAGAGGTTTTTCAATCCTCTTTCTACAGTCCCTACTTCATTATTATCGTATCAGTTGTACATTCAATGTTTTAAATGATTTTTTTAAGTGATATATGCATGTAATCTAGATTAACCTCCCCTTCGAAAAATAATGTGGCGGATCCAACTATTGATTATTTATTTCACTACAATCAAGAAGACATCAGTGTAATGGGACTGGACCCTACATGTACAAGAAAATATATTCAATTTCATTTTTTGTAAATAAAATTTGAAAAAGAGATTCATATCAGAATAAAGTAGTTGTATATGTCTGCAAATTTAAATATAAAAAATAATTTAAAAAATAATTAAATTCCAATATGCCTTTCTTTATATAGAATATAGTCTTGATATATTTGTTCATTGAATTTTTTTTATGTATTTGGTTTCTGAATTTACAACATAGAATTTGTGACATGCAAGTACTTTCACATGGAATTTTTAGGTAATTAAAATGGGGTCCTATTATACTAGGTCTCTGATTATTTATTACCAATGCAATATATCTTGGTAAAATATACAAAATTGACCTTTGATTTACATGTATAGGAAAATTTAGTAAAACTGAATTATTTTGCACATTAGTCAGCTCCTATCCCTATACTAGTGCAAGCTTTGAAAAAAAAAATCCTGAAACATGCATGATTAATAATTATATTTCTCTTGACTAGTAGAATGTTCCATTAATAATAATAATAATATATTGTATTTAAATGAAAAACAGAAATTTTAAAGAATAAAGCCTGTCCTCCATATTTATATTGCTATTAAATAATGCACCACCTGACACCCCCCCCCCCTTTCCTCACACAAAGTGTGTTTTAAATCAATTCAATTACAATTTAAGCATATAATCACTTTCTAGTTGTTGACATTAAACTGAATATTATAACATTTATTGCAGGAAAGCTTACAAACATCAATGCATCTTGGCCTGGGTCTGTACATGATTCCCACATCTTCAGAACATCACAGGTATTGAAGTAATATCAGGGACCTATAGGTCCCTGGTAATATATTGATATTTTAAGAATGTTCTTCACGATGCAACACATGTCCCCTCTCTCTCTCTCTCTAACTTCCATAATCTCTCATATTAGAGGCACATTATATCTCTTTCATGATTTTTATCTCTCTTTCGTTCTCTCATCGTATGCATTAATATTGAGAGTCTAATGACTATTAGATTTTGGAGGTTGATTTGGAATATTGTAATCTAGCATAAGAAAAGCCTGATATATTTAATTATCAGATCAGAACATATTTGGAGGAGGAGGAGAATGGTCTATTTGAAAATGGAGTTTTGTTGGGAGACAGTGGATATGCTTGCAGACCATTTCTTCTAACTCCTTATGCCAATCCCCAGAATGAACCTGAGGAGAAGTACAATCAAGCCCATGCAAGAACGAGAAGTGAAATTGAGCGCACCTTTGGGCGACTTAAGCGGAGGTTTCATGTTCTCCACTCAGAGGTATCTTAATATTAAACATTCTGGTATATTTTTCACCAACATTTAATAGTGCAATTTATAGTGAAACAAATTATATTTCATGCCCATTTTTTTTTTGTATACATGTAAATTTACACTTCAAATAAATGCATTTTGATCTGTGTAGATCCGAATGAAACCTGACAGGGCATGCAGAATCATCATAGCATGTGCTGTCCTCCATAACATCGCCATCAACCTTGGAGAGCCTGAGGATGAGGCTGAAGTTGAAGAGGACCAGCCCCAGATGCCTGCCTTTCAAGGCCCTCAAGATGGAAGAGGAGTGCGGGACTATGTGAAGCAGCATTACTTCAGCTAATAACTGGTTTTTTTTTAACATTTAAAGAATTGTACCCATAATAGGATTTAAATTTCATATCATTATAATTATCCCTTAGGCCATGAAATATGCTAAAAATATTATGAAGCATCAATAGTAGAAAAGGAATAAATTACCAAAACAATTCCATGGAAAGAGATTGATTCATTTAGTTATTAAGAGTGTCTGATTTCATTGACCAGTGTTTTTGTATACTTCACTTTCTATATTATGATTAAAATCAAGAGAAGATAACTCTTCAATAACAGGTCAATTAGGGCACACATACTCAAACACTATATACCAATAGTTTAAATGTAAATATTCATAGAGAGAGAGAGAGAGAGAGAGTATTGAAACAAGTAGTATATGTCTGATATGCATAAAGTTAATTAAATTTATTTTTTATAGATTAATACATGTACCTTAAATAAGAATGATAGAAAACATAATATGTAACATTTTATTTAACCAGTGATAATTGTACCAGTTTAACAATTGTATACACAGGTCAACAAAGGTATAATGATAAAATGGATACCTTAATTAATATAATATTATGCTGAATGCAACAAACAGGTAACAGGTAAACTTTCCACTCCAAATATCACAATATAGCTAGCATGTTCTGAAACAATTAAAATTTGCACTGAATTCATTGTTTTTGTTTTTTAATTTTTTCCTGATATTTTGTTTTTTCTTTCCTTCTTTCTTTCTCTCTTTTTTAATCGATACAAACCCACATGTATAAATATGCATTTTTGAGATCAGAAAAATTTCAAAACCCTTTTTTCCTTAGAGTGACAGAGTTGTCCTAAGGAAAAGACAAACCAAGAATTCAACAATTGGGACCCCCCCCCCCCCAAGGGAATTTTTTTAGTTGTTATTTTTTTATTAGTTGGGTATTACTTCTCTTAAAATTCATTTATACCCCCTCCATAATAACACAATGTTTACTAAAACATTGGATGAATGTAGTTTTTGAGGCTCTTCGGATTTTTTTTTTAAAACTTGGATCCACTCCCGATTCACGAACGTCAACAATCCACGTGTCTTGATTTCGCATTTGATCTCCTTACCTCCAATCTTCACATTTTACATAGTTAAATTACTACGAGCACATATTTAATCTTATCTAAAATAATTAAATGTAATCATTCAAGATATAAGAAACATATTTTGTGTGAAGCTAATCAAACTTTTAACATGAAAAAAAATTAGAAAGATGAAAGCACATGGTGATGGTGAGTTCGCCTCTTATTTTTCATTTTGACCTTAAACAACACAAATGAAAGCTTAAAAAACGAGAATGTTAAGATCATTATTAATTTTTTGAAACTAAAAATTACATTTTCGTTCACAATCCTACATGCATAGTAAATGTTAAGATTATTTTCGATTTGCATATCCCCATGAAAAGGTCAAGGTCGTGTTATTGTAAACAAAATCGGGAACACTTCTAGTATACCGGTCCCTATAAATATGGCGCTAAAATAAGTGCCGCCGAAGGCGGTGTACAATATAATTCGATCGCGTGAGCGATCGACAAAATCGATAAAAAAGGCCACAAATCGCAAAATTGAGCCAAAAATCGTGTTCCTTGTGAAAAATTGGGTTTAAAAAACTGGTTTTTAAACACAGTTTTTTAAATGAGAATTAAAAGGTTTCGTAAAATAACGTACTTGTTTAGTAGATAAAACTCCATTTTGAGTTGTTTAGGAATGTAGTCACATGATCAGTTTTTGACGTAATCTCATAAATATTCATGACGTGCGTCACTTGTGTTTTGACGTAATGAAGACTTATGAAGACTCAAAGTGAAATGCTACTAAAATTGCGAGATTTTTGTGAGAAATGCAGGGATTTAACAAGTGATAACTAATTACTAGTAATTGGTTGATTGAATTGTGCATCACTATTGATTTGAAAGAAAAAATATTCTGAATATGGACATTAGGAGGTTAGGATATCGAGCTTAAGTAAACGGTAAGTCGCTTTTACCAATTACTTGCCAAAACTTAGCGCACAATATCGCGTATATTTCAACATTAGACCAAGGCTAATTCATCCAAGTTTCGCAAAACTTTCCTGTTCTTCCAGTTCTTTGTAAGCAAAAATTGCATGAATAAGCCCAAAGTCGGATATAAGATGCGAACATGGGTGAATATAAAACAGTTACAATATCCGAGCTATATATACTCTAACCCTAATCCGTAGATCGCATACAATGCCATATTTAATTAACAGTTTGTTTAAATTTTGCATGTTTCATGCTTTACTCCTGTAAGATGGTATATCGGCACAGTGCTGTTCGACATAAGGCTGATTCATGCAAGTTTTTGGTCACAAAAGGCACTTGGCAGTGCCTTTTGTAAGCAAAAATTACATGAATTAGCCCTAAGTCAGGAAGATTTAAGAGTGGATTTATAAAATAGTTCAATCTTAAGACAAAATACCCTAACCCTAATCACTCGATCGAATGCGTTTTGTTGAAGAGAGGGGAAAATGGCGGTTTGTTTACATTCTGCATAGCAACGGCAAGGGAAATAACTGCTCATGCGCAATCGCGTGATTCTGGGGACCGGCATACTAGAAACTTCCCCAAAATCGAAAGAAGATTAGGAAACTTGTCGATATACCTATTCAAACACATGATTATAAAAATTAATTAGGCCTATTAAAAAAAGAAAAACAACAACAAAAATAAAATACCCAATCATTTTTTAGGTCTAAAATATAGATTTTAACAATAAGATGTCATTTCTTCGAGCAGACTAAAATGTTCCTTGTTATTATGACACATATCACTGTTTTGTTCAAATTCAATTACAAAATTTTAGGTCAAAGTAGTATTTTATATTGAATTAATAAAGTATTATTATATAATGAGTTAAACAGAGTAAAATCATTGAAATGTGTGTACAGTGTCACAATGTGTGTATAACTGTATTGTTGGTGTAATATGAACACTGTTATAATCTTTTTACTTTATTTTATTATTTAATAAACATAAAATATAGAGATAACGAGCACATTAGATAAAATTTTTGTTATTTAACACATAAAAGCCATATTTTACCAGAACATCCAGGCATTGAACTTTCAATGCCCCCTTCAATCCCGTGGAAGGAACTGGCATCCCTGTACATGTCCACCACATCCTGCATTGTTTGGGAAAGAGGGGTAGGTGGAGGCCCTCCGCAGGTAGGTTAAGGTTTCCCGTAGAATATCACAGTGCACTCTGTGCCTTCACATCTCTGAACTACCAAAATATGACGTCATAATGGAAAATGACGTCAAGTCACTGCAAACTTGAGGTGTTATGATGGGGAGAGTGTCATGAACTTTACACTTTATTTCAAACTACATGTAAAATACTAGTTAGCTATTGCAAAATTCACGGGTCGTTAAAGGTTTTTTAAGTCTTATATGTCCGAATATTTTAAAAATACACCGCTTACCTAACCTTGATTGAAATTTAGCATGTTCAAAATGCTTATGAAAAATATACTTTTGAAATGTACTCTGTTTTATATCCGTGGCTGGAGGTAGAATTTATTTTGTGTGTATAAAAGAGTCTGGCGCAGGTGATTAATGAGGAGTAATCTGAGAATTTTTGTGGAAATCTGTAAGAAGAGGTTATTCTATAACTGAATCTTGCTTGGGAAAAATGTGTGTTGGCTTTGTTTTAATACAGATTACGATATTGTGTGCAAAATACCCTCAAATTAGTAGGTAATTTGAATTTCTCAGGAAATATTTTGTATCTAAGTAATACTATGACTTTTCCCAAGCACATTTCGGATACACAAGGATACGATGAGTTTATTTATATAATATAATGTTAATAATTATTGTGTTAATCAGCTGCGCCGAAGCAATTTATATGAAACACTTCAAAAAATTATAAATGACCGTCACGTGATCACCAAAGTCATGTGATATCGTAACAAATATGTTAATATATAGCTGAGGAAACCCTCTATATAAATTGGAAATACTAAAGTTCAATGCTTATAAATTAAAACCAAAACCGACCTTGCAATGACATATAATGTTTTGAGCGCATTTTAAAGCTTCGGGAAGCCTTAACATAGCTGCGTCCTCCTGTTTTTGTCATTTGTCTCCTGTTTTCTGTAAATTTCAGTTTTGCTTCCCGACACATATTACGCCATTTATCTTTGACTTCTGTCAAACTCCTTTTTGCCACCCCCACAGCATTGACTTTTTTAACAATTTCAAGCCAAATGGCTTGCTTCTTAGCATTAGTAACAGTATTACTATGTTTTGCCTCCAGAATAGGATGGAGTTTAACCTGATTTTTGATAATTTCTATCTCTGTTAATGAGAAATTGGTGCTTCTTGCTTTCCTGTTCTTTTTTGAGCAGACGATGTCAGGATTGTCAGCCATGATTGTTTACAAAGGAAGAGAGGAGCATTTTGGGTAATCAAGTGGTTAGTGAGTGATTAAGCAGTGAACACAGTGTTAACACAGTGTTAGCTAACCATTGCGTTAAATTGCTTTTGAACAACAGAATTTAACCACTGCGTTAGCTAATCAAATGATTAAGGTTTAACACATAGTTATCCTTAACCACTGTGTTAAATTTAACCACCTTTTGAACAACCGGGCCCAGTCTGACACCGTATGAACTTCATCAATCACAACTGCACAGACTCTCTGCAGGTATAATTTTGATCTCAGCATTGATGAAATCTTTCTGTTGTTAAGCAGAGTTTCGGGGTGAGCATATATTATATTATACTCTCCTCTCTTCAAATCTATCAGGGATGTTGAAGATGGTACATGGACATCTGTCTTGTCTTGATCATCGTCTGAATCATCATATTCTTCTTCACATCTAAGTATGTAAGTGTTCCATGGGTACCTATATGACAGATTTATAAAATATCATTTCTTGGACATCAGAATCAGCAATTTTGGGACAAAATTTGCTTATTAAAATAGATCTAGTAAAGAGTTTTGGCCTATAGTGAGTTGGCCAGTTTTAGCTTTGAAGTGCAGAGAAATGATCAATAAGTCTACACACTTTTTAGCTGTCCATTTTTTTAAACTGATTAAATGTTTATACAAATGTCAATCAATATCACATACCTTCACAATTTAAAAAGCAGGCTTTAATTCCTTTTTCACATAGAGTCATCACTTGGTCTTGCATTAATGACGTCAAAAGGCTCACAACAAGGGTAATTAATGGATGTTGTAGACCTCTTTTGCGCTGAAACAGCCATGGAAGACACTGGAAAATAACACTTTTGCCATATCCAGTTGGCATAACTGAGACACAATCATGTCCAATAAATAATGCACGCAGGGTTTCCAGTTGTTTGTCCTTTAAAGAAAATTCCAAGCCCATCGATTTGGTAGCAAATGCAACACAATCTTCAAAAGATGCCATAACTACATGTAGTTTTTCTCTGTCGACTGTGTGTAAACAACGAGTAACTCGAAACTCCTCTGTATGTAAACAAATCTATTTGAACTAATTTTTACAACTCCATATACACTTTAGTTACTTTAAAATTTTAATAAATATTAGATTACAAAACAACCTTTCATTTAACATAAAGCGACTTGATGTGTTAAGTAAACGATTAAATGATAAATTTTAACGGATTTAACTTTAGTTTACGGAAACGTATAACCGCCTCGTGTTGTTGTGTTAAAACGCGATATGTCATCATAATTTTATTGTCAAATATAATTGCTTCACAGTTTTGCAATTTATTTATGACACCAAATCTCTAATGAATGACATTTTATGAGATGTTTTGGACGACTTACACACTTTGATTTTTCAAAGTTGAATTTGTCCATGTCGCACTTAAATAATGCGTACAAATTTTGTCGCTTAATTGAATATTGCAATCATTATTACAACGGGTCGCAGATACTATTGCAATATGTAAGACATGATGACTTAACGTAGGCAACTTATTTCAATGAAAGAGGCCAATTCGTCCAAATTTCGACGACTTGTAAAAGTAATTGCAGCAAAGTTGACATAAATTTGTCAATGTAATGTATTGTATCAAATTTGAATCGTTTGAGATACAGTTCATTTTTTTTTTGCCTCACAGCGGATAGGATCTGTAAGTATAAAATGAGGAGAACTGGTTATTATTTTCATTTGTTGATTCTTAATCTTTTGGTTTGTTATTTTTTGTTTGTTTTTTTAAAGAGTAAATCTTATATGGAGGCGGATGCATAATCTTAATCCAAATTTCTTGTGTGAATTTTCAATTTAAATGATATCAAACATGTTATGATCGGATGGGCAATGTCTCCTTATGTGCACCATGGCCCCGAAACGTTTTAATTACTTTAAGAATTTCAGATGAAACTATATAAAGCGTCCTTGTCGATGTTGAAAATACTGAACAGATCTAATTAAGATAATAAAACTTGTTTTCAGAATCTCTCCATCGCTCTCTATCTCTCTCTCCTGGCAGAGGCATATATTTTTTTTTATTTCCTTTGAAATTAAACCCGCATGATAACAGAGACAATTCAATCGGGATCGGGAATCCGTAAACTTAGTATATTAGAGGAGTTGAGAGCGAAAACAGTTTTTAAAAACAGGCAAGTTACCTAGAGTAAGACAAATCGTTTTTGCTTCCTTATGTACAAATAAGAATCGGAGAAAACTTGTATTAACATGAAAATTTAGGCCTAATGCTGAAACTGCTTCATCTACACAATACGCAAAAAAAAACTGCAGTCTTGTAGGGGTACTACTAAATAGAGTACGCTAGAGTACTTTAGAGTACGCTAGAAAAATTATGTTATTTATTGCAGTTAATTTGTTTATTTATGTATGTACAACTTGATTAAGCATTATAAAAAAAACTTATATTGCAATATTTTGTTTCAAATATTTGTATTTAGCGATATATTTTGAGAAGAAATAACAGTCATTCATAATTCAACGCATTAAAGATTACTAATACCCCAATCTCGATAACTATTTTGTTTCTGATTTACTTACTAAATACTTACATCTAAATTTCAACAAATATTAAATTAATTCATGTGTAAATAGTTTTCACATTCACAAGGAGACATTTCAAAATGTTTCTTAAACAAGATCGGGATCAAACGATAAACCGTAATCTGAAATCAAAAACTGATATAACTCCTAAAATAAAGAAAAAATACAAATTTTATTTAAAATATACATTCAGTGTGTTAAACTAAAGTAGGAAAACATACAAAAAGTAGTATAATTGCATTAAATAATAAAATGTGACTAGCGTACTCTAAAGTACTCTATCGTACTAGTGTACTCAGTTTAGTAGGACCGGTCTTGTAGTCATGGATCTTAAACGATTTTAAAATAAATGTATATGAAGCATGCAAGATAGAAGTCTTTTTAACTGCTTTTGTTTTAAGTATATACTGTATGGTAATTTTATGGCTTGCATGATTTATGTTAACAATTCCTATTATTAAATCCTGGTGTTTCCTTGATATATACAGCAGCTGTAATCTACAAAAAACGTTATAATTTCAGAAATTCATCATTTCATTTATTGACAGCTTAGTTGTTCATATTGTCAGCTTTATTTGATTTTTAAGTAGATTAATATGGTTAAATACAAAATATGCATTGTATTTCATAACCATGGTACATGTAACAGTTACCATGAAATCCACAGTTTGTAATTGTAACTACTTTTAACTAGGACTAGGAATTTCTGTTTTAAAAATTAAAATTCATGTGAAGACAGGTTGGAAAATAATTTTCTACATAAATGTTAGTTCATTCTTAGGTTTATATATAAAAAAAAAAAATTGATGAATAGTTTGAGTGAAAAATTGGAATTATGTGTTGTTTTTTTTTTATCTACTTAAAAGAGATAAAGGTACTGCACTATTACGTATGAGTGACCAGTTTAGTGTAAACATTATTAGGGAGAAAGAATTTTCATGACCTATAGTCACTTCTCTACATATATCTGTATATAATGTTTAGGAAAACTAATAATTTTACGGTGTGACCGTTGGGTGAGTGCAGTTGTACCATAAAAAATTAACGCTTGAAATGGTGATCTGCCACATCAGTCATCAAGTTGCAATAGACATCTACACTGACGTTACATGATCACATGATGTAATAGAGCTCGCCAGGGTTTACGGAGACATCCGACCATTTGGTTTGAATTTATAAGACGTGCAATTTCTGTCAGAATACATTAATGTTGAGTATTTTTTGATTTCTACAAACCTAAAAAGCCTTTTTGGGGGATCATTTTTAATTTGCCATCATCGCATGGAATCCTGGTAGCAAAGGAATTCTGGGAAGGTTTCACACAAAAATTTGCTCAATGTATATACAGATTTCTATCCAAATTTCACTGCTCTTATACTTTAGTCTATTGAGCTGCACTCACTATGAATGTAAATGATATTTTTCCAAGCACATTGCCTCGCATAGTTACTAGCAAATAAAACTGGTTCCACAGGACAGTTAAATGAGTTAATGCATGTATACATGTAGTAATCAGGTAGTAAAGCACCTTAAAATTTTTAATGCATGTTTAATGTGTGGTTGAAAAGCCCCATAATCCTACTGTGTAGCTCAAGAAAAAGATACATGCATCATAATATTTTTTAAACATGATAACCAATCAAAATTATATGGAAAATTAGTTTAAATATTAAAACACACATTTATAAGTGCAGGGATTTTTACTGAAAATTTGTTATAAATTTGCTAACAGGTTTTATTAGATTATATTAATACACATATTGATTTTTTTTCAGCAAAGTGGTACACAATGGATCTACCAGGCCCCAGTGGAACTAAATGTTTAAAAATATGGACCAAACAGCAAATGAAAAAAGCTATACTTGCTAATTCTTTCAATGAATTAGTGTAAAAAAGTAAGCAAATGTGAAATATATACAAATGTACATTTTTTATCATAATAACCATATCTTTTAATATTTATATACCATATTGTCTTCAACTTTCATGATCACACATGCACACTTGAATTTGTTAAGTGAAAAAACTGATGTTCTACTTTCGTTTGGGATTCGTAAATTTTTCATTATTTTATTTTAACATGTTTAAGTTACTCTAGTAGAAAAAAAAATGTCACATCCAATATCTGCGTTTTTGGGATGCGCTTTTTACATAGGGGTGCATCTTTTACATTACATTTTGCTCAATACACGGGATTTTACATAAGTTATAGATTTCTGTTTCAAACCTCACCTGAGCTGAAAGCACACATTGTCCAGCAATGTCAAGGACTCTACTCAATTTCTCAAAGTATCACTAGGCCAAACTTCTCATCAAAATTGACATAAAGCATCTCTAGATAAAGCTAGGGTACTGTAGACATACTTTTTTCGATGGGGTCATTATTCTGTTGATCGAATCTCTAATTCTGCATGTGCAGTCTGTTGGTAGAAAATTCTGAGGACATCTTAAGACGCTCTGTATATACCTTTTCTTTATATCAAAAATTCCCATGGAGAATTTGTGACCGCGTACATAGTGTAAGTTTATACCATGCAGTAAAAATTACTTCTACAGTTTTCTCTTTTTTTCACATGATAGGTCAAGCTTTACTTTCTTAGAGAAGTTAGAAAAGGTAGAGATTGTGTGAGGTCATTAAAATAAGTCTACTTCTCATAGAACCACTGTGTGAAAAGCTATATATAACATATGTGGATCAAGCTTAGGATTATGCCAAACTTATTGTCACATGGTCATCAAGAGTAGAAAAAGTTTGAAACAATCATTAAAATTGACCTTTTCAGCTAACCGGGTAGAAACTAATGAACCACTGAAAAGCTAAAACTTATATCATGTATATTGAAGCTGATATTAATATATGAGCTGACTTTAGTTTGGAATTAATGTTTTATGATGTGAGCACTGGGGCCCACACAGTTGTACAACTTAATCCTATTACATTAAATTAATCTGCATCTTCATACTTTATATCAGAGGCACATGCATGCAGTCTGAGCTAGAATGTGATAGGATATGATGTTGTAAGTGTACCGGTAATTAAGTTATAATTCTGTAAGTGAGTCTAAATGAACCAAGCACATTTTGAAAACAAAATACATTGCACAGTAGATTCAAGTAAGCAGAGCTAAATGACTTTACAATTATAACTGCATGTCCGTTAGATTAATTTTGCTACTATTGCATTGAATGATTGTAATATATATCAAAGGATTTCTTGGAAGTTTATCACAAAATTTTCTTTGACCAATATTGAGTCAGACATAGTTTGCTCCGATTTTTATATATTCATAAATTTACAAATACATGTACATGTATATGATTCTTTACAGCAAAGGTAAAGTTCAATATGGAACCGTCGTCAGTATTTCAATTTGTATTACTGGAGGACGGGACGGAGGTCGATGACCAAGAATTCTTTGAAGTCATACCTAACAACACCATTTTGATTCTTCTTAAGCCAGGGGAGACCTGGGAGAGAGGCAAGAGATGAATTCATTGTAAACTACTGTATGCAGGGAAGTTTTTGCCCCTGTTTTATTTTCGCCCCTTTTGCCCATGTAACTGAATAAGTGGGCGAATTCAAAGCGGGGAGAATTTAAAGAACATAGTATGTTTATTGACCGAGTTCGAGGGCAACATAGGGCAACTTGCGTTTTGTCAGACCCAAGAATCAAACTGTCTGCCTGAGGCCGTAGGCAGTGAGTTTGTTTCGAGGGTCTGACAAAACACATTTTGCGTGAGAATTCTGTCAATAAATGTTTTGTTATACCTTTCATTTTATTTTATTGACATACATGTTTTTGTACTGTATTCCGTGATGTAACATAAGGTCTGTCACTGATTAACACCAATGAATGAAAATGAGATTAAGCTCCGCCCATTCTGCGACGTAAGCGGTACAACATCTCCCCAAGCAGTGGACAACATCTCACTCAGATTTTGGTGTTAAATTTTTTGTATTTAAATTATATTCTAATTTATCCTAAAATGTATTAAAAATCAATTTCAATACAAGTAATAAATGACACGACTCAGGCTTTTTACTGGGAATTATTAATGTTTGAAAAAATTGTAGTGTTGTGCGCCATGTTTATTTATACCCAAAACATCACAAATTTGGGTAAATATAAACATGACGCAAAAGGAGTTTGTGTAGGTCCCTGGTATGATTGTTATCCTCGGGTTATTGTACCCTGATTATTTGTGATATGTCTCTACTAAACAGTTCTAAATGGTTCACAATGCACTGTAATTAATAAAACTTTGTACTAATCATATATTTTATGGTAGAATTGTTACAATTTCAGAATTGGATGTTTGAGTTTCAAAACTAAAACTGAAATTGTCTATTTTCTATATCTGAGTACAGAATCATCACATATAAGTTAACATTATAACTAATTATTAACATTATAGGTACACTGTTGTGATTTGAAACTTTTAAAATTTGATCTGGAAATTAATTGTTGAATTTTGTTCCATTTTTAGGTTGAAATTTCTAATTGCAGTCAATTATGATAAAGTTATGATCTGTAGAAATAATCTTTTTACCTCAAAATATTAAAAGCAACGTGTTGCATGGTGTATAGCATTGTTCTTTCTTCAGATTTTGCATTACATGTGTATTTTGAATTGTCAAAAAGTTTTATATAATATATTTTTTAGGTCACTTAGTAAACTCATGTGACCTATTGCTATCCGTTTTCATCTGTCGCCGTTCATCATGCATTAACTTTTGAACATTTTCATTCAGCTTCTTTTCTGAAACCACTGAACCAATTTCAACCAATTTTGGCATATATCTTCTATGAATGAAGGGGAACAAAATTGAGAATTTCATGGTGATCCCTGCCTTCAAGGGATCTAAGGATGGGGCCAAAACCACTAAAATTAGTGTAATCATTAAAAAATCTTCTTCTTTACTTTTGTACATCAAGCAGTCAGACTGTTGGTATGATTGTAATCAGCAGTGAGTCCTCTACAAAATTGTGAAATTCATGGCCCCAGGGTCAGGGGTCTAGTACATTTAGGCAGGGCAAATAGGTTTTATAGTGAAAATGCATTATTTCTTTGAAAATTCTTTTGTTAATACTATATCATTATGTCTTTTAGAAAGTCAAGATGAAGTAAAGAAAGAAGATGGTGGTAAGTCTTTTTATGAACTTGAAGGGATCCAAATTTTATCTTAAAACTGAAGACCATTGAAATTTCTAGCTTCCTCTTAGAGGACAACCTGCTCTAGGTTCAAGTATGGTGATTAATTAATTTAGTACAAGGTAAGGTGATGTTTTAATAACTTTATGCAAACAAAAGTAAGTGTAAATTCAGTGATCTCTGTCCCACTGGGGCTTCAGGAGTGGGAACAAATCTACCGTAAATCATGCTTTATTCTTGAGAACTTGATTTTTGCATAGTTAAGCAAAACAACGAGATTGCGAAAATTTAATTCTTGCTTTTAAAAATATTCCTTACGATCAAAAAGAGTAAAAACACCAATTTGTGAAAATTATGTCTCGCTAATAAAGAGTCATTATGACTATCTTGCGGAATAAGATGTCACGGAAATTTAGTGATCTACAGTATCAAAATTAATCCCAAATTAAATATTCTTCTCTTATAATACCCCTGCATGAACACGATGAACAATGTATTATTACGATGAATTGAAATGTAAAATTATTTATAACAAATGCAGTCTCAGGACAATCTGTGTTTAATGCTATTCTCTGATAGAGTACATATGAATTATTTTTAGCTCACCTGAGCCGAAGGCTCAAGTGAGCTTTTCTGATCACATTTTGTCCATCGCCGTCCATCTGTCTGTCTGTCCGTCTGTAAACTTTTCACATTTTCGACTTCTTCTCAAGAACCACTGGGCCAATTTTGACCAAACTTAGTACAAAGCATCCTTGGGTAAAGGGGAATTTAAATTCTTAAAATGAAGGGACATATCCCCTCGCAAGGGGAGATAATCAAGAAAAGACAAAAATAGGGTTGGGTCATTAAAAATTCTTCTCAAGAACCACTGGGCCAGTAAAGCTGAAACTTATGTGGAAGCATTCTGGGGTAGTGTAGATTCTAAATTGTACAAATCATGTTCCCCGGGAGAAGGGCGGGGCCACAATGGGGAATCAAAGTTTTACATAGAAATATATAGAAAAAATCTTTGAAAATCTTCTTCTCAAGACCCACAGGGCCAGAAAAGCTGAAACTTATGTGGAAGCATCCTGGTATAATGTAGATTCTAAATTCTTCAAATAATGACCCCCGGGGGAAGGGTGGGGCCACAATGGGGAATCAAAGTTTTATATAGAAATATATAGGAAAAATCTTTGAAAATCTTCTTCTCAGGAAACACTGGGCCAAAAAAGCTGAAACATATGTGCCCATGGAAGGATCTTGGGGTAGTGTAGATTTCAAAATGTCTTAATTATGATCAGTGGGGTAGGGTGGGGATGCATTATGTATAACAAGGGGGAAATCTGGTAAAGAACAGAATGGTTAAAGCTTCTCAGGTGAGCGATGTGGCCCATGGGCCTCTTGTTTTATTCAAATTTAACAGTTCCAAAATCTGAAGTACTTGGACTTTTAGAGAAAATAAGAAAGAGGAAGGGATCAGCAAAGGTAACAATTTATAGATCCGAATTTGTCAGCATCATGCAATATATATTACAATTGTACTATACCTATTTTTATAATGTGTCTTTTTTATTATTGATGCCTGTATTTTACTTTACAGTCTATGAGTGTGCACCGTTTTGCTTAAACAATTATACTTGCCTGTACAACATCACATCCAATTTATTTTATAAGCCTCTTTATACACATGTATGCAATGCTCTCTATGTACGAACGGATCAGTCTGTCTTACATACCCCCATCTCATGATACTTTTTTTAAAGCTTATATTACCTGTATAAATTCTGTTACAAGTGACTTTTGTGCTGTACTCAGGGGATATATATCAGCTAGAGTGTCCACAATTAAGTCAGCTTTATGAGAATGTGTCCATTATAAAATAATTACATGTACATTGTATTTACGCCCAGCTACCTCGACCTGTATTAACTTATATCAATGCTATAGGGATGGACATTTCCAGACCTGTTTCAGATGCTGGATCTGCATGTCCTACATTTTCCACATAGGTGCATATCCATGTTTAAATTTTTAGAGCAGGCCCTTTCCCAAGTATATAATTATGATAGCTTATATGAATCAAACTTGTATGGATGATGCATCAATTTTAAGGAAAGAATTAAAAGACTTGCTTCAGATAAATACTTATTGTACTTCCTAAATATTCCAAATATTTATATTTGCTGTGTTTTTCGTAGTAAACCAACTGTAAAATTGATTTGAAAACCATTTTCGTTCATAAGCGTGCATAGAAATATACACAGAAACGTGTGCTAAGTATGTGATGTACTCACAATTATTTAAGGCTACAGCGACATTAAATATATGCCTAAATGACAAGTCTTTGTGATTCACATACCAACTCACACAAAACTTAAAAACATTCCTTAACAAATCCCACTTTAAAAAATACATTTACTATCATATTAGAATGAAGTGGTGAAAGTATGATATGTAAGTGCTTCGTTGTGATTTCATAATGTGACTCTGAAACCTTTGAAGTGTTTCCACTACATGCATCTTACATCTGCATCACCAGCCATTAAATGAAAGGATTTCACCAAACTGTTTTAATTTATATATTATGAATTTCAAGTTTAACTTAAATATATGAAATGGGATTGATTGATTGTATATTCAGTGATTGTTAATTAACGTCCCTCTCGAGAATTGTTCACTCATGTGGAGACGCCACCACTTGTCGGTGGAGGGCTGCAAATTTTGTCCTATGCTCGACACTCACGGCCATTGAGCAGGGAGGGATCTTTTTTGGGCCAGCACCTACTGCGACACAGTACCTCGGTTTAAATACGGTCTCATCCGAAGGACCGGTCTCCACGTCCCACAGTGGGATTTGAACCCATGATGTAAAGATTCACTCCTTACTAATCACAACTCTAGAGCAAACGCTCTAACCACTGCGCCACATGGGTGACTTATGAAATGGGAGAGTAGAAATTAATACAGGGGACCAGACCAGGATTCGAACTGGGGCCCCTAAATCTCTGGTCAAGTGTTCTACTGACTGCTCTACTTGGGCACCGATGATCGAATCCGGCTGATCGACACATAAGTGGCTGCTTTCATTTTTCTTGAGAGGTGAGGTTTTATATAAAGAAATGGAAATTTTTAAATTAAGTCCAAGGTTCCCTCTAAGTATTAGATTATATTTTTCCAGTGCTTGCAGCCCTCCAAGTTGAACTAGTAGTCCATGACTTTTCACCTTGAAATTGGTAAATAATAGACTTAATCCAACATTGCACATATATAAAGAATAATACGTACCCTTTTCCATATCACATCCTGTATCAGCCCGAGACAGCAATATCAGCCAGAGGGCCGAAGGTCCGAGGGCTGATATTGGTCATGTGCTGATGTGATGTGGAAAAGGGTTTGTATTAATATATTTATTACATACTTAATAATAAAATATGGCATACATTAATTTGAGAAGAAAATAAGTAATTTTTAAAAATCATGCATGGACTTCTTACAGACATGTACATGGTCTATTGTCCCATACGATTTGGTTTTGTTTTAACTACTTCTATTTCAATGCACTCAATCAGTAATTATACCCCACGCAACAAGTTGCGTGAGGTATAATGTTTTTGACCCGTCCGTCAGTCAGTCAGTCAGTCAGTCAGTCAGTGTGTCAGTCAGTCAGTCAGTCCGTCAGTCCTGTTTTTTTGTCAGCGCAACTCCTCATAAACCGCCGCACAGAATTTCGTCAAACTCTGCAGATATTTAGGACACAATGTGTAGATGTGCATATTACCAGGAAATTCCGATTCCTTTATTTTTTCTGGAAATTTCGGCACTTTTCAACTTAGATTTTTGGCCATATCTTGAATATAGAGATGAACAGTTTGTCAGCGCAACTCCTCTTAAACCGCTGCACAGAATTTCGCCAAACTTTGCAGATATTTAGGACACAATGTGTAGACATGCATATTACCAGGAAATTCGGATTCCATTATTTTTCTGGGAATTTCGGCACTTTTCAACTTAGATTTTTGGCCATATCTTGAATGTAGAGATGAACAGTTTGTCAGTGCAACTCCTCTTAAACCACTGCACAGAATTTGGTCAAACTTTGCAGATATTTAGGACACAGTGTGTAGATGTGCATATTACCAGGAAATTCCGATTCCATTATTTTTCTGGGAATTTCGGCACTTTTCAACTTAGATTTTTGGCCATATCTTGAATATAGAGATGAACAGTTTGTCAGCACAACTCCTCTTAAACCGCCGTACATAGTTTCGTCAAGCTATGCAGATATTTAGGACATAGTGTGTAGTTGTGCATATTGCCAGGAAATTCAGATTCCATTATTTTTTTCCATAAGAGTTTTGGCTATTATTCAAAGAAACTGTCCCCCCCCCCATCAAATTAATGCTTTGTCTTAAATAAATAATTTCATAAGTTCAATATATAATCAAATTTATATGACTGCATCATAATTTTGTTTCCATCAATTATTTAAATGTGTAAATTGTCACACGCTGGACATAGACCACTCATAAACAAATCGAAATCATTGAGGAATGAGTTAACCAAGAAGAACGCACCGGAAATCAGTCTGGAAAGCTTCAGTGAGGAAAGTAACTTGGTAAGTAAGCAAATCAAATTCTGATATATGTCTAGATTTAGCTTATGTAGTTAAGTTTAAGTCATATACATATCTACTTTGTTTAGTCCTTAAAAATGTCGTATGCTTCAAAGCATTCATTAACATGATTAAACAATGCGAACTAGTAACCCGAATTTCCTCTGTTTTATCTTTCATTAAAAATAGCCGTATAAATTGTTGTAGATTTTCAAATATATACTTGATAACATGTGCACATCTGTTTCATGGAGTGTTTTCTTTTTTATTTATCAATCCTTTAACCACATTTCATCAAAAAGAAAGATAGGAAATGGATAAGCATTAACCTTATTTTTTTTCCGTCCTTTTCATTTGGATCCACATGATTTCTACATCAATTTTTGATGAGAGGCAGAGTTTTCACCGTGAATCTATATACAAAATATTGAATTTTTTTTTACAATCAGACTAAAATGTGTTTATGTAACCTTTCTAAACTTTCAAACTAACAAATTAAACTTAGTCTTATGCATTTATCTTTAAGTAAATTTATAACTTCTAAATGAATGGTCAAAAATCAAATTGCTATGTTTTCTGAAAATGGAAAAAAAAATTCACTTCGTATTGATTTTATTTATATTATTTTAGTCAACTCCTTGAAATGACATACACATTTACTACTGTAGTGTATTAAAAAATGCATTCATAAAAAAAAAAAAAACCCTGTCATTTTCACAATTTCCACAACAGGAGAACTTTTTCATGTCATTTTCACAATTTCCACAACAGGAGAACTTTTTCAGAGAAATTATTGCATCTTATAAATTACAAGATACGGAAATGGCATCCCCAAGACCATCTAAAATGACAAGCCCTGCTAAAATGGCATCTCCAAACCCTGCTAAGAAGCGACGTGTGGATAATTTAACAGACTTGATAACATCCACAGGAGATGACCTTGACACACAGATTACATCATGCTTATATCATTTGGGAAAAAGGGACATAACACAAGCCACGCGAATGCTAGAAAAAGTGAGGAGGTTAATGAAAGCAAGCAATTCAAAATATATAATAAAATTAAATGAGATTAACATGGAAATTTCTGCCCTTAACCAGAAAGTTAATGGACTAGAAAAAAGAGAGGCCTACCAATCAAGACATATTGCAGATTTACAGTGCAAAATTGAGAACTATAAGAGTTTCATATCATTTGATGAGGATTTTGCTCCTGATGAACCATCAGATTCATCAATCTCTTCACACAATATAGGATCCCAAGAATCTCAAGAGACTTGCCAGCCCAACCTAAAACAAGCAAAGCAGAGATGCCATGGACCTCTACCCAAGAGAACCCTTCCTCTCAGATTCTCATTAATGACAATTAATTACATAAACGAAATCTGAACATCTTAAAATTTAATTTAAAATTCTTCTTTTCCTAAAATTATTTCTTCCAATCATTTTTAAAATTACTATATAAATATATATATCCATACATATAATTACTATAATTATTTGCTTTTTCTCGAACAAGAAGATTCTTTTTTTGCAAACAGAGATATTTTATTTTAAAGCATAAGGCAGAAAGCTAGTTAAAAAAAAAAAATTGAAATAATTATTGTATAATTAACATACATGTTTGTTGTGATGTTATGATTTTTTAAATTTATTTTTTGAAGTCAGACTATAGTTTTAATTGGAGTTTTAATATCATTCATTTGGACACTTTCAGACTTTTTTTCTTATGGTTTACCAGATCCACTCTGTGTAGCTTCATAATAATAAATAAAAATGAGGGGCCAGCAAAGAAGGACAATTGAGACATATCAAGTTGTTTTTGAAAAAAATATCAATAAATTTTTTGAAACAAACTGAGATCTTGTTTAGGAAAAGATGATTTAGATTTATGTTATGAAAAAGTTCTCTTTAATCAATTGTACACTTTCAATTATATTCGATAATGGAGTAGGTAAAAATCCCGATTTCCCATCACTGTTTAAACATTATTGGTACTTCAACTTTGGATTGAGACAATGCAGATAAAGTGCCTTCTCTAAGAACACAACACACACCATCAAGTGTCCACAGTACAGTTTGAACATGGGACTTATTATTTACTGGCTAAACAACTATAACCACTGAGCTTTGCGCACAAAGTTAAAGAGAACATGGGAACTTACTGTGCAGATCCTTCTGTACCTTTCTATCAAACACAGCAATTATCACTCATCAAGTTTGATGTTTTAGCTCACCGAGCTAAAAGCTTTTCTGATCACCCATTGTCTGTCATCTGCCCGTCTTTCTGTAAACTTTTCTTCAGATTTTAAACTTCTTCTCAAGAACCATTGCGACAATTTTAACCAAAGTTAGTACAAAGAAGCCTTTGGTGAAAGGGAATTAAAATTGTTAAAATGAAGGGCCAAGCCCCCTTCCAAGGAGAAATAATCAAGAAAAGACAAAAATAGGGTGGGGTCATTAAACAAATCTTCTCAGGAACCACTGGCCCAGAAAAGCTGAAACTTATATGGAAGCTTCCCGAGGTAGTGTAGATTCTAAATTATTCAAATCATAGCCCCCCGCCCCCCCCCCCCCCTTGGGTAGGGTGAGGCCACAATAAGGAATCAAAGTTTTACATTGAAATATATAGGAAAAATCTTTATAAATCCTCTTCACAATGACCACTGGGCCAGAAAAGCTGAAATTTATATGGAAGCTTCCTGAGGTAGAGCAGATTCTAATTGTTGAAATTATGACTCCCCGGGGTAGGGTGGGGCCACAATAAGTATTGCAAGGGGAAAATCTGGTGAAGAACAGCAGAGCCAAAGTTACTCAGGTCACTGTTGTGGCCCATGGGCCTCTAGTAATTATCAAGTGGTAAAGTTATTAATTTTTGAAATCTCTCAGATTTATGATCTTATTATTGCAAACACAGTGTATTGATACATATGTATTCCCAAATGGACCATGCCTGATACTTACACTGCTCACCCTACTATCATCAAATTGTCAGGATTATTTTCACCCACATACGATGGAAAAAATAATTTTAAACAATTGCTTTCTTATTTCTTTCTTACTGGGTTTGTCCTGTACAAATAAATCTTTTACCAAATTTACTCTAGAACTATAATATCACCTATTTAGCACATAAAACGACAATAAAATTGTTTTAAAAATTGGAGGTACCAATAGATGACATATATTGCTTATGCAATACTTTTGGCATGATTGCTTCATAAGTAGTAAGAGTTTTAATAAATTTCATTGACATTACGTTACAGTGATGAAAAGAATTAAATAAAAAGTCATTGACATACTGTTACAATGATGCTAAGATTACATCATGTATCATTTGAAAAGAATTTTTTTTATTTAGTGGTTCATGATGCCAAGGAAACAAAACAAAGGATACAGATACAGTTTTGTTTTAAATTTTGTAGTTCAAGATGCCCAGAAAAGAAAACAAAGGGTACAGATACAGAAAAGAACAAATCAAATTAATTAAAGTCAAATCCAGGTAAGAACCCCCCCCCCCCCCAACACACACACACACACTTTTTCTTTATACAAATTGTATTCACTTTACACATGATATCTCCATGAATTTTCATTCGTGAAAACATCAGGTCATTCAGAGTTAAGAAAAATAATGTGTATATCATTTGGATATTCAATTATATATATTCAATGTAATAATTAATACTATAGAGGACTTTTATTTTTTCCCTTATAATGCATAGTTTTATAATGTTTTTCATTTTCATGTCTATAATAACAATACTTTGAATCTAATTTTCATATTCTTATTGTTGACTTAACAAATTACATGAATTATTTTTATCAGATTGCCCAGCAATGAGACCAAACTGCCTAGCAGTTCAGAACAACCAACAGATCACAACTCACAAGATAAGGTAAAGTGGTTGATGTTAACTTATTAAATAACACCATTCAAAAATAACACAACAATTGTTTAAATAATCATTTCTCTCAAGAAAATTTTATGTCTTATTAACAGATATCACCAGTAGATCTTGGCTTGAAAAGGAAAAGCACTGAGAATGCTAACGATGATCATAAGGAAGTGAAAAAATTAAAATTACAGCAACAATATACCAAAATTTTACCAAATACAACAAATACAGCAGCTGATACTTATAAATCAACACATAAAAATCAACCCAATTTAGACATGAACCAAGAAAAGCTATATTCTCAGTTAGAGAAAGAAATACAAAATCAAATCAGCCTAATAGAGAAAAAAAAAAGACTTTCCAATGTTCAAACAACTGTCAGTCTTCAAGCAGGTAATATTAATAAAAAAACGATAAACAGTACACTAAGTAAAGCAAGGTGGAGATCAAAAAGAACTCCTGATCAAATCGCTGCAGACAGGGAGAGAAACAAAGTTCTACAACGTGAATTGAGATTACTAAACAAATTTGAAAATAAGAAAAAAGAAGCATTATCAAAACAAAACAGACGATTAAAAAGGACCCCAGCTCAAGTGGAGGCAGACAAGGAAGTGAACAGGAAACTTCAACAGAAAATCAGATCAAAGAGAACTCCAGCTCAAAAGGACACAGACAAGGAAGTGAACAGGAAACTTCAACAGAAAATCAGATCAAAGAGAACTCCAGCTCAAAAGAAGGCAGACAAGGAAGTGAACAGGAAACTTCAACAGAAAATCAGATCAAAGAGAACTCCAGCTCAAAAGGACACAGACAAGGAAGTGAACAGGAAACTTCAACAGAAAATCAGATCAAAGAGAACTCCAGCTCAAAAGGACACAGACAAGGAAGTGAACAGGAAACTTCAACAGAAAATCAGATCAAAGAGAACTCCAGCTCAAAAGAAGGCAGACAAGGAAGTGAACAGGAAACTTCAACAGAAAATCAGATCAAAGAGAACTCCAGCTCAAAAGGACACAGACAAGGAAGGGAACAGGAAACTTCAACAGAAAATCAGATCAAAGAGAACTCCAGCTCAAAAGGACACAGACAAGGAAGGGAACAGGAAACTTCAGCAGAAAATCAGATCAAAGAGAACTCCAGCTCAAAAGGAGGCAGACAAGAAAGTGAACACGAAACTTCAGCAGAAAATCAGATCAAAGAGAACTCCAGCTCAAAAGAAGGCAGACAAGGAAGTGAACACGAAACTTCAACAGAAAATCAGATCAAAGAGAACTCCAGCTCAAAAGGACACAGACAAGGAAGTGAACAGGAAACTTCAACAGAAAATCAGATCAAAGAGAACTTCAGATCAAAAGGACACAGACAAGGAAGTGAACAGGAAACTTCAACAGAAAATCAGATCAAAGAGAACTCCAGCTCAAAAGGAGGCAGACAAGGAAGTGAGCAGGAAACTTCAGCAGAAAATCAGATCAAAGAGAACTCCAGCTCAAAAGGAGGCAGACAAGGAAGAGAACACGAAACTTCAACAGAAAATCAGATCAAAGAGAACTCCAGCTCAAGTGAAAGCAGACAGAGAATTGAACACCAGTTTACAAAAGGAAATCAGATCGAAACGAACACATGAAAAAATTTCATTGGATAGACAAAAGGATAAAATTTGTAAAAATCTGAAAAGACAGCATCAACGTGAAGTATTCTCAAACATTTTGAAAGAGTTTCAGAAAGCCATTCAAGATGGACCAACCTACACATGTACATGCTGTCACAGACTGCTTTATAAGCAATCTGTTCAACATGTGATGTCATGTAATTACTTGAAGTGCACAAAAGAAATATTACTTCAATGTTTGACAGGTGAGGACACGATTTGTAAAACATGTCATAGATCTTTACAACAGGGGCACATTCCAGCTATGGCATCAGTTAACAAACTTCAAGTCAAACCTCTTCCTCCAGAATTAGAATGCCTTTCAGAACTGGAGGCTAGATTGATAGCAAAGAGAATACCATTTATGAAACTACTTAATTTACCAAGCGGAAAACAGAAGGCGGTTATTGGATCAGTTGTCAATGTCCCTGTTGATGTCACCCAAACATGTGCTTCATTGCCAAGGTCATCAACATCAGATATGGGATTCATTCCACTGAAACTGAAAAGAAAAATGAAATACACTGGACATGTCCAATATCAGATGATTAGACCTTCTGCAGTAGAGAAAGCACTATGCTACCTTAAACAGAACCACAAGTTATACAGAGATATTGATATAAATGCTATGTGGCAACAAGAATTTGAAAATGACAATGAGGAATTATGGCAAGCATTAACTGCAACACAAGATAACTTGGAAGAAAGATCAGAGGACAAACTGGAGAATGGTGCAGATCATAATAACAACGAAGAACAAAACGATATTAATATCTTTACAGATGTTAGACAACAGGTTAGCCATACCATCCTTCAACATGAAAAAACCCCAACCCAGACTTTTCAAGACCAAGATCAGGTTAGTAAACATCAAAAAAAAAAATCTTAACTAGGACACATGTTTCAAAATGTTTTAAGTTCAATAAATTTTAAATAAAATTATAGTGTATATCATACATGTAAAAATTACATGAGGTAGACATACATGCAAAATACTAAACCCAAACAACTCAATTTCAGTTCTATTAGTTGTTCTTTAAACAAAAATCATAAAAATATGTTAAATGTTATATGTATGAACTACTCCAACAATAACTGTCTTTTTGCTCTGCAGTATCATTCTACAGAAGAAGCAATGCATGATAATGGGCAAGAGTCATTAACATTATCTTCTGAGCACAGCACTGTATTAAATTCTAATGAAGTTGATGAATCAAATGAAGAAAGTGATGAAAGTGAGCTTAGAGGACTGACATATGATTCATGCTTACAACCTGAAAACATTGCTGCTTCTGCCTCTGGTAACAAAATCTTCAGTATTGCACCTGGCGAAGGAAGACTTCCAACCCAGATTTTACAAGACCAGAACAATGAGGTATGTGCTAAAGATAGGATACAGAGTTACAGTGTAAATAAATAAACATGTGGTTCTAGCAGTAACCTCTGATTAATAGCATTAGAAACAAAGCATTAGCAACCAAATGAAACATAATACATTACAGCATGGGAATAGTAGATTAAAAGATAAAAATAGAACAATTTTCATTCATGAATAAATACTCCAACTTTTTCATTACAGGTGCTGACATTTCCACATCTTTTTCCGACTGGAGAATTTGGTTTTGATGTTGAAAGAAACAATAAACTCACACTCAGAAAATACTTCATGACCAGATTGTGCAACAAAGACAATAGATTTGCAACAAATGTTGAATACCTTTTTTATGCTCAGTTTTTAACAGATTTCAAACAAGTGTCTGATAGCATAAACATTGCACTTAGAAAGGCAACTAATCAGTCCTCTACTGCTGTCACTGCTGGACAAGTTAAGAATGATGAATACCGAAAACAGCTGATTCAGACAGACAAAGGCTACCAATTTCTCCAAACTATACGTGGATCACCAGCATACTGTAAAAAAATTCTGTATGATTTACTGGGGATGATTAAACAGTTAGGACCATTTACATGGTTCCTCACTTTATCAGCAGCAGATCTACGCTGGCCTGAAACCATCTGTATAATAGCAGATCAATTCAAGGTTAAACTAACAAATGAAGATGTTGAGGCTTTGACTTGGGAGGAGAGATGCTCTTGGATTCGAAAAAATCCAATCACAGCAGCTCGTCAATTTGACTACAGAGTGCAGCAATTCATCAGGCTAATAATTAAAGGTGAAGTCCTTGGGAACATAACCGATTTCTACTACAGAGTGGAGTTCCAGCAGAGGGGCTCCCCTCACATCCATATGGTGTTATGGTCATCAGATGCTCCAGACTTTGAATCAGCTGAGGAACATGTTATTACTAATTTCATAGATTCATACATCTCTTGTAATCTTCCTGAGGAAGATGAGGATAAAGAGCTATATTCCTTGGTTAATACTTTGCAAAGACATGTCCATTCACACACGTGTCGTAAAACAGGAAAAAAATGTAGGTTTCATTATCCAAGACCTCCATCAGATGCAACTGTCATTTGTAGAATTAGCTCCCAGGGAGAAATTAGAGAGAATATCAAGCCAACTGAAATATTGCATACCGTGTTTGATACCATCACAAATGAAGACGTGGCTGGTTTAACTTTGAAAGAGGTCTTGACTTTAGCCAATATTCCATATAATAACTACATGTATGCTCTGCAACATTTCAAGTCCACAAACGGAGTTGTCCACAAAAGGGAACCAAAGGATGTGTACATAAACAACTACAATCCAAATATTCTCAGAGCTTGGCAGGCTAACACTGACCTTCAGTACATCACTGACCCCTATGCTTGTGTGATGTATATTGCATCATACATGACAAAACCTGAACATGAATTGGGTGAGCTGCTTACAGCAGCATCCAAACAAGCAGCTAATATGGATCTTCGTTCACAACTTAAAAAAGTTGGCAGCAAGTTTCTCAGTTCCCGAGAAGTGTCTGCACAAGAAGCAGCATATCGTATTTTGTCACTGCCTTTGAAAAGGTCCACCAGAGAAGTTATATATGTTCCAACAGATGTGTCTGAAGAACGAGTTCGAATGCTTAAGCCGATGAATATTATACAACATCTTGATGATGAAGATGAGGATATTTACATGGAGGGTATGGTAGATAGATATATATATAGACCAAAAGAACTAGAGAATATATGCTTAGCAGATTTTATCTCGTCATATAGACTACATTACAAGAAGCCTAAGGACAATGAAGAGTCTGATGATGTTGATATTCTTGACAATGATGACCAACCCACAATTGTTCTTAAGTTACAGGACAATAAAGGATACATCACAAAACGGAAAAAAAATGCTGTCATAAGGACACATCATTATTCAAAAGATCACAATCCAGAAAAATACTTCCATTCCCAACTAATGTTGTATGTTCCGTACAGAAAAGAGAAACAGCTCTTGGATGATGATGGCTCTTACAACACTACATTCAGAAAGAAAAACAAAGTAGTGCTTAGCAACAAAACCAAATTTGAGAAACATGCAGAAGTCATTGAGATGGCATATGAACAGCTTGAAGAAAATGGTCCACCTGAGGATGCATGGGCCCAAATAGCAGGAGAAATTGAACATCAGAGGCATATGCAACAAGAGGAGGGATCCACACCTGCTGAAGAATATGCAATTTTTGATCCAGCTAACCATCCTGAATCTCAACATTATGAAGCCTTTAAGTCACAACTTCCTATAACATCAGAGCGTCAAGAGTCAATAATGCCAGACACAGAATATCTACCATTTATGAGATCTCTCAATGTAGAACAGCGATTCATTTTCAATAAAATTTATGAGTGGTGTTTCCAAAAGTTGACATGTGTATCAACAGGAAAAGAACCAGATCAGATACTGACATTCATCACAGGAGGAGCCGGATCTGGTAAAAGCCACTTAATCAAAGCATTGTACCAAATGATCACTAAACTGTTGAGATCACAAGTGGATAATCCAGAAGAAATAGTATGTCTCTTAACAGCACCTACTGGAACTGCAGCAAGGAATATTCATGGACAAACTGTTCACTCAGCCTTTAGTATAATGCCAGGATTAGACTCTTGTTCCCACAAAACTCTCTCATCCCTACGAGTAAAGTTCGCTAATCTTAAATGCATCATCATCGATGAAGTATCAATGTTGGGATGTGAAGGTCTAGTGACTGTACATAATCGTTTAACAGAGATTATTGGAAAACCAAAATCAGACAGTCTCTTTGGGGGTGTATTAGTTATAGTTTTTGGTGACCTTTACCAACTCCCACCTGTTGGTCAAAGTCAAGTGTTTGCATTGCCGAAGAGCCCTAAGATGCGATTGTATGGATCTCTATGGCAACATTTTCATATAGCAACACTTTCCAAGATTATGCGACAGAGAGATGACGTAGAATTTGCAGAGCTCTTAAATCGAATCAGAACTAACATACAAAACAAAGATGATATTGAACTCCTAAGGACTAGACAAGTTTCACCAAATGACCCACAATATCCTGCAAATGCTCTACATGTTTACACAACAAATAAAAAAGTAGACCAACACAATCAAAACCATCTTGCTGCAACTGAGTATCCTGTATACACCATTAAAGCTCAGGACATGAACACAGAGCATCATACTGGTCAATTCCAAGTTCAGATGCCAGATAATCCAAATCGCACTGGAGGTTTGCATCAGTATATTCAGTTATCAAAAAATGCTCGTGTAATGATAACCAAAAATATTGATACATCAGATGGCCTGGTAAATGGAGCTCAAGGCACTATTGTTGGTTTTTATCCACCACCTCCAGAAAATTCATCAAACTACATCCCAGTATTTGTATTGCTTGAAATGGATGACCCAACTATTGGTTCCAATGCCAGGGATACTTTTAAAACAGTAATTCCTCCACATTCCAAAGCTGTACCAATACATCAAGAAGAAGTACGATTTACTGTTGGAAGATACAAAGTGGCACAGGTTTCTCGTCGGCAATTTCCCCTCACTTTGTCATGGGCATGTACCATTCACAAAGTACAGGGTCAAACACTGGATAAAATTGTAATATCTTGTGAAGGTCGCTACCAACCAGGTCAATTTTATGTAGCTGTTAGTAGAGTAACTAAACTCTCAGGATTATTTTTTCTGGATTTTAATGAAAAATGTATTTCTTGTAACAATGATGTGACTACAGAAATAAAAAGAATGACAACAGAACAGCCATTCAAAATCCTACCATTATGGACTCCAGATCAGTCTACAATCACTATTGCTCATTTGAACATCAACTCCTTGGCTGCTCATATCAAAGATTTGAAGGCAGATCTCATTCTTTCTACATCTGACATCATATGTATCACTGAAACATGGTTGACATCTAGACATTCAGATTCATCCATGAAGATTGATTCATTCAACATTCTCAGAGTTGACAGAGAATTATGCTACAACAGTGATCAGATAGACAGGAGTAAACTTTCATATGGGGGTGTTTGTTCTTATATTTCAGTTGAATGGACATTACAGCCATTGCATAATCAAAACCAAACCAAAGGAATTGAATATGAACTTTTCAAAGCAGAGAGAAATTCACACTCAATTCTTATTCTTCATGTGTATCGTCCTCCATGGCTTTCTCTTCAAGATTTCACCAAACACCTTATCAAAATTATGGATAAAATGGATAATCTTCCTACTCTAGTCTTAGGTGACTTTAACATCAATACTTTAAAACAACCAAACAACTTACTTTTACTTGCATTAGATGCAAAAAATTTCCAGCAAGTTGTGTGCCAACCAACGCATGTTTCTGGATCCTGTATTGACCACCTTTATATCCAAAAGGAGTTATTATCAGTATATAATATAAGAGTATTACCAGTTCCTTATTCTCAACATGATGCCTTTCAAATAAATATAAAGATATAAAGGTATTAAACATTCAAGATGTTATGAATGACAGATTTTCTCTTCTTTTCTCTATGAAATAAAAAGTGATCATTTTTTTAGCTCTACTGGTCACAGATCAAAAGACCTTATGTGATCTACTTATGCAATAATAGGTGTCCATCCATCTTTCTAGCTGTCTGTCCGTCCGTTCGTAAACATTTTTTTCAAAACGCTACTCCTCCTGCAGTTTTGCTTTGATTTCAGTATAACTTGGCACACAAGTAGACTCTACTAAGATACATAATTCTATGCTTCGGTTTTTGATTTCAATGAAAGGTGTTGCCATGCTTACTAAAATTAGAAATTTCTGTGAAAAGCTTTCAAAACGATACTCCTCCTACAGTTTTGATCTGCTTTGAATGGTGTTGCCATTGTTACAATAAATAGGAATTTCAGGCTCCGGGGCCATAAAACTTAGATGAGCTCACTTTGATCTCATTCTCACTTTTCTACTATTAATTCCTGAGGTAAAAGTGAGACTGAGATCAAAAGTGAGCTGGTCTAAGTTTTCTTGCCCCCAAGCCTGGTCTGATTTCAATATAACTTGGCACACAAGTAGACTACACTTTCTCATGATTATGATTACATTACCATTAAATAACAGTTTGTCAGCAAAACTCCTGCACTGAATATCTTGAAACTTTGTTATTTCAGACATAATATGTGGATTTGTATATTATCAAGAAATTTTTATTCCATTATTTATCTAGAAACTTCATCCCAGATTTGAATGTCCTCATACGCAGGAAGTTTTGATGTGATGATTTTTTGCAAATAATGCCCTTTTTGATTTACACTGTACTTAAAGTGCACTGTGCCATTCATTATGTGTTGCATTGTCAAGTTTTGCGGGAGCGTGGGGTATGTGAGCTTGCTCACTTTTTCTTTCATTTGTAAATGATCTATTACATGTATTTGTAAATTTAGATTAACCTTATTTTCAGAAAAGAAAATCTAAAAGAATATAAACCCACCAAAAATGGTGTATGATCACAAGCACTGTGTTTGTGGTTTAATTTACCAAGGGTGTGATATTGATCTGCATGCTGCGGCTAAGGGGCCTGATACGGCTATTGTGACGTCAGCCATATCGCATATGCAAAAAACCTGTATTTATTACTATAGTCTGTCCCACCAAGCTATTGTCACCACTTTTTGCAACATATCTCAAAATATATAAATACCTTGGCCTTCAGCCTAGGTCCGATCGATAGATCATTTTTTTTCCAATTTTCCTCCATTTATCCGAACCCTCGAGTTCAACCGGTGTATTGACACGGCGGCAAATTCAAAGTCTACGGGGATTTAACATTGCCAAAATGGCCGTCACTTCGGAAGGGGATCAATCATTATTCGTGGATTTCCGTACTTTACCGTCATTGACGTAATGACGTAACACACTTTCGGAAATTCTCTGCACTTACGGACGTCCGGAAAAGCATACCGCCCGAGACTTACCAAGCACCTAATACACGTGTATTTTAAAATTAGTGATAAAATACGGAGTTTTAAGCATACATTGCATATCAATTGACAGAAAAAGTTTAAAAGAGCTAAACACTGCGACCCATTTGAATTCATATACTCAAGGATTCGTAAGTTTGAATGTTAAAAACATTCGAGGCTGCAAAATATCAACCAATGAAGAGTGCCATGACTGCTTTGCCAAAACATGTAAGCGAATACGTTCTATAGAGTGTAAATGTAAACAAAATCTACAACTTTACCTTGCATTGAGTAAATCCCAAACACATATATAGTTCAATGTAAACACGATTAAACATCTTGTCACTTCTATACATGTCCCGTAAATGCACTTCCTGGATTTATATACTTATAACACTTATCACACCATATATCCACCTTTGTTAATACTTTTTGAATCTTTGTGCAAAACAAGACTTGTAGTCTGCATCAAACTACGTCACCAGAGGATTTTGACCTTGCCCTTCGAAAACTTCCTGTATCGGTATTAGGTAAATCCGGGCCCTGAGATTTTAAACATTTTATATCAAGTCTTTCCATTAATAAATGCCAGAATACCAAAGATCAAGGACACACTCAAACATGTACTCATGGAATACATTTTATTTTTTTTTTTATTATGTCTGTAGATTTTGCATGAATATAAACTTTTAAAATATAACCAGGGATCTCTACTAACTATAAAGTATATAGGTCCCTGATATATAACACACACTTTTAAAAAAAAAAATGTATATTTGCAGGAAATATAAATTCTTGTCGAATCCCTCTCATATTATTTTTTCCAAACATTAAGAAAAAAAAAATAATTAAAAACTATAGACAAAATTAAATAAGCATAAATAATACAAAACATTTTACAGCTGTTTTATTTGGAAACAAGAATTTAATTGTAGGATACAGAATAGCTAGCTGATGAAGGCATCAGACAGACCAGCACAAGCAAAGATGATTAAACCACCCAAAGTACCTGCAGATACATGTATATGGCCTTCTATAGTTTTTGAAAATTGAAAAACTGTGGAATCATTTTATTGTGGGGGGGGGGGGGATTAATCAGCTGTTAGTGGGCAGGCATTTAATTCAACTGGTTTGTGCAGACATAATTCATAAGGTTAACTTTAAAATACATTAAGTTAAAGATTCAATGAATTGACAAGTTGAAAAAATAAGTATTTGTGGGAATATAAATTAGTGGATATGTTTGACCCACCTATCCTCCTCCAAGAACAATGATGATTCCACAGTAAATGCTGCCAATTACTTTTTTTTAAAATACCAAATAATTGAGTTATGTGTCTAAAACTGACAAAGTAAATACTTGTTGAAGTTATGCTAATTTACATCTTCTTTTGTGCAAAGTAAATTCACACTGTAATAATTAAGGGTATAACATACAAATTCAGAAGAAGAAATGAAAGTCAACTGCTCTGTGGTGATGTTGTTTATGGTTTGAAAGTCCCTTCAGCCTTGGTACAATAGAAAAGTCTTGACTCATATTCAACACAATGAAGCCAAGAATGAAGCTATGAATGAGTTGGAGAGTGGGTATCTTGTTTTTTTTTTTATTTACACTCTTAACAGTTCTGTTGAAAATGGTTTCTGCCTTATCCAGTGTCCAGATCACTAAGTAGACTACCAGTTAATATTTGTTTCAGCCATCACTTTTGGTCTGAAATAGATAATAAAACACATCTTAAATGTTATTAAAATTCTTGAGAATGAAAATTTATGGTTAAGTAATTGAAGTGAAATTAAAGAATGAATTTCAATTCTACATGTACCAAGATACATGTAGTATAAATTATATACATATGGAAACTACAATTTTTATTTTCAGATTCCAGCCTGAAGTATGCAATTCAGAGAGGAAAGACATTTTAATATTTTATATATACATGTACATGTATAACTTACTAGTCCAGAAGATTCCTGAGACTCTGTGATTCACCCAATTACATGAATGCCTTCGAGTCTGGTCATCATAACAATGTACTCCATTTTTTTTAACCTTCAAAAAAAAAAAAATTATGTAAATAAATATAAAGGCATAATCAAGTATACTTTACTTCTTTATTACAATTTGCTCATACACTGTATACAATATGCATGATCTTAGTTTCTGGCCTTTTATTTAGTACATGTATGCTAGAATACTGTACATAACTTTAATTTTACAAATGAATGTTTTGCTAAATTTTTCTTTTGGACATAAAGAATGGATGCGTACAAGGCGAAGATAATACCCCACTCTGAGAAAAGACATTTCTTAATTCTTAAGTTCATGATGTTATATTTCACAAAAATTGTATTGTCAATATCATCTTTTACACATTTGCTTCTTTTATTTAATTGAATAACTTATTGATTAGTATTTTTTATTTTCAATTATGAAGGTATGTGGAAAGAAAAAAAAAGAGCCGAAGGCTCAAGTGAGCTTTTCTGATCAAAGGGTGTCCGGCGTCTGCCATCTATAAACTTTTTTGACTTCTTCTCAAGAACCGCTGGGCCAATTTAAAACAAACCTGCAAATGTGACAAAGCATCCTTGGGTGAAGAGGATTTAAGTTTGTTCACAGGAAGTGCCATGCCTTCTTTCAAGGAGAGATAATGAAGAGTTCATGAAAATTTAGTGGCATCTTTAAAAATCTTCTCAGGAACCACTAGCTAGGCAAGAAAAGATGAAAATTATGTAAAAGCTTCATTACAAATTACATTACATGTACAATCAAGTTTATTCATATCATAACCCCGGGGAGGGGGGGGGGCACAAGAGGGGAGTGAAGTTTTATGTAGGAATATATGGGAAATGTCTTTAAAAATCTTCTTCTCGAGAACAGCTTTGCCACTATTAGCCATATTAATTCAGAAGCAACCTTGGGTAATGTAGAATCAAGTTATCCTCAGGTAGTGTAGATTCAAGTTTGTTCAAATTAGGGGGGTGGGCACACAACAGAGGGTCAAAGTTTCGCATAAGAATATATAGGAATCATCTTGAAAAAAAATCTTCTGTTCAAGAACAGCAAAGCCATGATTAGTCATGTTATTATAGAAGCATCCTCAGGTAGTGTAGATTCAAATTTGTTCAATTTTAGGATGGGTAGGGTGGGGCCACCAGGGTTCGAAATTCACTATATACAACTCGCAAAACACGAGTTAGAATTCCCAAATTGCGAGTTGAAAATTAGGTAACTCACAAAAACTTGCGAGTTGATTTTTTTTTTTTTTTGCATTGAAACTGTAGCAAAATTATATAATATGACAGAACACAATACTTTTGATTTAAATCAGTAATTTAAATAAAAGTCACACTGTAGTTGTATTTTGTGTACTGTACAGTAGTTACTTTTTCCTTAAGTTACATGTATTAAATTTATATAAATTTAACTTTATATGAAAATTGCGAGTAGTCTTATAAAATTGCGAGTTCACTTTGTTGGTACTCGCAATTATTTGCGAGTTGTAATTTTAGGGAGTTTCTAACCCTGGGCCACAATGAGCGATGAGCGTTTTACATAGGAATACATGGGGGGGGGGTCTTTAAAATTCTTCTGTAAAGAACAGCAAAGCCATGATTAGTAATATTGATATGGAAGCATCCTGAGGTAGTGAAAATTTAAGTTTGCCATTGACATTACTAACAACTTTTTTTTTTATAAATGTAACTCTTCCTTGAACTTTGAAAATTGTAATATATCTCACAGCAGGAGATAGTCCTGTATGCTCTCTTTCTTTATTGTTTGAACAAAATGGGTTAACTATGGGGTAGATGTAAGTCAATGAATTTCAAATTATGAACTTTAAAGAAATACCCCCCCCCCCCCAAAAAAAAAAAATAATAAAGATTTTTTTTTACAATACTGGTGAAAGAAAAAAAAAAAGAAATCTCAAGGGTTGTATACCAGGGAAACTTGCAGCATTACCATATTATGAATTCCAACTTAACAAAAAATTGTTAGTGAAAAAGAGGGGGGACTGAGGAACAACCAAAAAAAAAAAATCACACTGTCTTTCACATGAAGGGATGAAATGTAACTGCAAAGTTAGTACTGGAAGTGTGAATATTTCAAAATGGGAGTATTTGGGGCATGCCCCCTCCCCTGGAAAGTTTAGGATTAACGTAATAATTTGCATTCTGAGAGCTAATCTAAGTTCATTTATTTTATAATAAAATGCAGCATGCTTACTTTATCCTCAACTTAATGTATATTTAATCGAAAATTTTCTGTAACTAAAAGGGGGAAATTTGACATTTTATTCATCAGGTGAAAGGATTGTTTACAATGAATTCTGTGGACCAACTGTTGCGTTTTAGATATGTTCCCTGTGACTGAAAGAGAAAGTAGACCTATCATAAAAGTCATTACCATTATAGATCTACTGAAAGTTTTCGTTTTCCCCCACTAGGCCTACTGTGCAGATATGCATTGGGCGCTTTCGCCGAATAATGCTTGATTTTGACAAATCATTAGCACTTGAAAACATTCTTTTGTGGGTGTACTTTCAGAAGTAAAAAAAAAACAACTTACGTTTTCATCGAAGGAAGCTGTAAATTACACATCATGTCAGCAACATCCCCTTTATAGAGCAGTGCGTTATCCACAACTTGTACTGCATTGAATTCGGATTATTTTCTCTCAGTTTATGAGAAAACTCGTCAAATATATTTGAATGCAAAACAATACTTATATTTTTTACCAAAACACACTGAATTGCTTTCGTTGAATTTTTAGGATTTTTTGTAATTTTAATTTGGCAAGAACGACTACTCCCTCGATAAACTGGTTTCCTGCCCCGTGATCTTGACGCTAATGGACGAGTTTACCATGTTAAATCCCCGTAGACTTTGAATTTGCCGCCGTGTCAATACACCGGTTGAACTCGAGGGTTCGGATAAATGCAGGAAGTTTGGAAAAAAAAAATGATCCATCTCTCGAACCTAGGTTGAAGGCCAAGGTATTTATATATTTTGAGATATGTTGCAAAAAGTGGTGACAGTAGCTTGGTGGGACAGACTATAAGTGTGTAATAAAAAGTTGGAAAGTAGGTTAGAAGTTATTGATATTAGGGTTACCTGGTAATTATGTGATATGGCCCTGGTCAGTTATTTTTACACGCCCAGATCAATAGAATGGGGACACCTATTGTTTTTGTCCTGTCTGTCTGTTGTCAACTTTAACCTTTGTCATTACTTTTGAACCATGAGAGATTAAACACTTATATTTAGTATGCTTATACTCTAATAATGTCAGTTCTTTCAAATGACACCAAGGTCAATGACCTTGTGACCTTGACTATGACCTATATGTAAAAGTAAATTCTTTTTCATAACTTTTGAACCATAGGAGATAGAGTTCATGTGTGATATGCCTACTCCTCTAATCAAGTTCTTTCAAATTACACCACCAAGGTCAATGACTTTGTGACCTTGTCTATGACTTATCTGCTAAAAATCGTCCTTTTGGAACTTTGTTACTGCTGGGTGCATAGTGTTTCACAAAAACATCTTGTTTTATGTAAATCACATTTTAAAAAGTCAATATAATGTAGGAAATCCTAGTATACAATTATTTGATTTATTCCATTGAGTTCATGTAATTATCTGAGTTCAACTAATTGTTCTAATTAATTTAAAACAATAATGCAATTTTGTAATCTTGCATAAATTTATGCTGAACTGTATATTTTGTAGGGAAAATCAACGAAGGAAAAATTGCATAGAATACAATTGGGATGGATCGATTATAGTTTCAGCGACAAAAGATACAAACAAGTGAAAAACACTATCAAAAACCCAGATGTTTCAAATAGAAGCGTTATGCTACCTGGGAACACCGACTATCAGGAAACATTAAGGAGAGTGATCGCTGAGTTTTTTCCCCGTGGGAAAAGCGTGAGAGGAAAAGAAAATTCATTTACATTCGAACTGGGAAACAGCAAGGGAAACCCCCTAAATAAAAGCAATTTTTCCATCCAATCATGGTTGAATGAAGTAGAAACACAGCGCCCACGGTTATACCTACTAAGTAAACGAAAGGTAAATCATTGCAAAACTGTAATATTTAAAACTATACATTATAGAAATGTATTTTCTGCAATATCATATATATCGAATGAATCAATTATAATTAGAGCAATTGAGTATGTGTATAAAGTACCTATCTGATTTTATAGACATTGAACTTTACAATTGAGTCCCATTCTGACAGTGAGTCAGATTATGAATTACCAGATGTATCCGACTTTCTTATGAGTGAGCTACCAGTCGTGACATCCTGTAGCACAACAGTTACTGTGGAATCCAACATTGTGGTAAGAACTAATTATAGTATATATGCAATAGAATTTCTACATGCTATATGCATGGTGCATTTCTGGTTTATTTGTAATTTTAGAGACAGCTAGATTTTAGTCAATGTACATTGATTATATTGATTGGTTGCTGAAAATCATGACTGCACAACTTCTTTTCAAAACTTTGGTATTATCACCAGTTACATAATGGCAATCATAATTGATTTAAACTAAGTACACAGATTGAATCATATTGTTAACCACCACAAGAAATGCAAATTGAGGCAATTATGCATCTTAATTACCTATTACTGAATTTTATATTTTACAATTTTCAGCAAACCTCAGTGAGTCAAGATCACACATCAAGTGTAAGTATATACATTGTACATTTCTGTGATAATTGATCATTTAAAAAGTTTGTCTGAGTCTTAAAATTTAGTTTAACCCTGCCTGCTTTCTGATTGTAAAATAAACAAAGAGTTACATGAGGAAACTGCATGATTTTTTATTGTGCTTGAATGAACAGCTTGTGTCAGTTACAGTACGTAAGCAATATAGTCATTAAATCTATAGCTAGTAATATTAGACCAGTTATGAGATTTATCAGTAGATGTACAGTAAACATTCATTTCAAGAAATATATATATACTATATATTATTGGCATATATAGTGATATTGCTGGGTTATACATTATGTATACTGGTATTGATGCGAAGCTGTTCTGAATATGGTCAATTACTAATTTTATTGTGTAAGCAGAAACTAATGGCATGTGAACCTAGTTTAAAATCAACATTGAGCTCCAAAAGGCTCGATAAGGGTTACTAATTGATCTCTAGATTTGATTATCATAATACATGCATGTATCTTGATTTCCATATCAACACTCTTTTATTTTCTTTTTCAGTCGGGAATTCTTGCTCAAGCTAATATTTCAACAGTAAGTATATTTACTGGTCATTTACATTGTTTTTAAATTTCAGTTTTAAAGCTGACTTTAGCCAGCTATATACTGTAAACCAACTTTTATTCGCGTGCGAGAAATTTTCGCGAAGTTTGCGAGAGCCTCGACATCGCGAATATTTCTCGCCGCGAACCGGTCCTTAAAGTGTATTTGTCTATTTACTACAAATCCAAAAAAGCTTGATCGCGAAAATTTATCGTCGCGAACAAGTTTAACCCTAGTAAATCGCGAAAAAAAGTCGTCGCGAATAAAAGTTGATTTACAGTATAGGCTTGAGTGAAGTATATACTAATTGATATGTGTTCAGATTGACTCGCTCTGTCTGTACTTGAAATATGAGTGTTTGATTCTCTCTGTTGTTGTGTATTTATATTATGTTGTGTGATAATTTTTGGTCATAA